CAAGAGCTCACGTTTTAGTGGTAACAACCTTTTCTAGTGGTAATATTGTGAATTAATTGTTTATAGTTTATAAGCTAATTTTCTCTAGTGTCTCTATTGACTACTAGATTAGGACTCAAATGGTATGTTTATATAAGTTTTTGAGTAATTTATTTGAGAGTACACGATATACCTCTGCGTTGCCCATTCTTATCCTATTCGTGTTGTTTTTTTTTAATGTTTAGTCACCCCGAATTACACCGGTGGTGTGAAGAATGTATCCTTGTCTCTTTATCATTGGCCTTGTTGCTGATAAAGACATTACAGGCTCACAGAATAGATAGAGCGAAAGACAAACCAATCGTTGTAAAATTCTCGTCGTTACCTTTTCGGAATGAAGTTCTTAAGACCGCGTACAAACTCGGGGGTAATCCAGACAGAATAGTTTTGGATAGAGACCTAACCCCAGAAGATCGTGCAGAGAATATCATACTTAAGACTAGATATGAGCTTGTGCAGAAGGGCGTTAACTTTGGCAATAAGCGGTACTCAGCGGGAGACATATTGCACAATTCATCGTTTATTGAAGATATTTGTACAGCTGAGTTTTTTCTTCTGGGGATGCTTTAGCGAACCCATCATCTTTTAAGGTGTCTTGCGCACCGAAAACTAAAGCTAATCGCAAATAGATTATACTTGTCTCATTTTAGAATCATGTCGGGTACGGTTGGTCATTTAAATGTGCGATCATTGCAGCCTCACTTTGATGCTTTGTCTCCCTTAGTCTTTAATGCTGATATTGTTGCACTATCAGAAACGTGGTTATCATCTGGTAGTCGGATTCTTTGTTTGCTTTGGATTCCCATAAATTATGGCGCCAGGATAGATCATCCAGGGGAGGTGGTGTGGCTTTCTTCGTGCGGAAAGGTATTCAAATAAATGTATTAAAAGCACTTTCCAATGATCATATTGAATACCTATGGCTTGCTGAGTAGGTGCAAAATGTCAAATTTGCAGTTGGTCTTGCGTCTCGTGCTAGAGTCTCGCAGATAAGTATTTCTGCAAATAATATCTGTAATATTTCTGTAAATATTTTCGTATCTACACGCTGGAATTCCAGTAATGATATGTTGAAAGTACCTCTTGAAGGTAGACATAGACTTGGTGCATTGTGTCAAAATGTTGTTGATTTAAAACCATATGCTCTTGAGGGCAAAGAATGGATACTGCTAGAAGAAGTGCATAAATTACTAGTCCACTTTCAAATACTTTCCAAGAAACTCGGAGAATGGAAGTATGACAAATTACCTATGGTGGTTGTATGTATCAATATACTAATGGATAATATTGAGAGCAAAATATTTGCACGCTGTCGAAGAGCAACTTATTGTTAGTTTTCAGGCTGCGAGAGACAAAATATTAAAGCATCATCGTAAAACTAATTAGATTTATGCTGCAGTTTAAATTCTCGATTCGCAGCATAAGATAGAAGTTTTTGATATGACAAGATGGAGCCAAGAATTAAAAGAGACTTGGGTTCAGAAATTTGAAGATGTATACAAAGCCTATTTCCATCAATCAGAAGGCCAATGTTCGAAAGTAACGGCATTGGATTTTGTATGCAGTAAATCCTACGCCTTCCGAAGTAGAATGGATGCAGGAGCTTCAAAAATATTATTCTATGGCTCGGTGTAATAAAGACACAGATATATGACACTGGTGGAAAATGCATGCTTCTGAATTTCCTATTTTAAGTTTAATGGCACGAAATCTCTTAAGCATACCAGCTACTTCAGTCCCGGTGGAAAGATTATTATCATGTGCTGCATTAACTATACATTACATTACATAGAATACATATCGGGTAGGCGGACCAACCAACCTTGCACCGCGACCCTAAGCATCTATTGTACCCCGATAGATATCGTTATCAAATTTCACCGTGCAGTCCAATGCTCTTAACGAACATTAATACCTTGCTCGGCGAAAGGTCATTCAGATCTTTTGAGGAGATAAACTGCGACCCAAAAATCGAGAATCTGATACGGTTAACGGCAGGGCAGTGGCATAAAACATGCTCAACCGTCTCTGCTTCCTCCGCACATAGTCGGCATTCAACATCGTCGGCTAAACCCAACAAGTTGAGGTGTGCTTTTAATCGGCAGTGCCCAGTAAAAACACCCATTAGAACTTTTATGCTACTACGGGCAAGTCCTAAAATATTCCCGGGTTTGACAGTGGCGATGTTAATAAACACCTTAGCATGTCTCATTCCAGGAGAACTGGTCCACAGTAGGCGAAGTCTCTCTTCAGCCCACAGTCCAATCCTATATTTGGCCATCGCAAATGATACACCAACTGCTGGTTCCGGTCCCACAAACGCTTCAGCGCTGCCATCTCGTGCTAGCTTATCTGCCGCTTCATTGCCAGCAAC